CAAAAGCCAATGCCCCACTGCGGGCGGTTGCGAGACTGTTTTTTTTCTAATTAGTGTATCACACCCTCAGCCTCCCTTCAGTTCTATTTAAAGTCCTGAGAAAGACTTCGACGATAACCATATCGTCTTGGACGCAAGAACAGGTGTTTTCAGCGTTCCCGGCTCCAGCGGCGCCTTGAGCCCTTTGACAATAACAACACGGCAGCGCGCCAACTACGTGCCATTACCTAGAACCATATCACTCAATCAATATTTAAAAGCGCTTTTCAAACGAAAAAATCCAATAACCTAAACCCCACCTCCCCACAGACCCCCCCAAAACCACATTTTAATTATATATACTACACCACATGCTAAAATACAACACAACAAACTCACACACATCACATCAAGGAAAATAGTATCACAATAAAGATATAGGGCTGTGCAGAGGTAATCCACTGGAACTCCCATTCAAAGCCAGCTCACCAACCAGAAGAGCCCCCCAGACCCCCCACCAGTCCAAGAACCAGACCCCCTGCAGCACGGCAGAAACCCCACCCCTTGGGTTCCAGGAAACACGGAAAAAAACAATACAATAGAAATAAAACATAAAAATTAAAAAATAAAAAAAGGCAGCTGCCTAATATTAATAATAACAATAGTAAAACAGGTAGAAAAATAAATAAATAAAACCTAAATATAATGTCCTAAAAACATAAATATGTTACTAAAACCAATAATAATAATAAAAACAATCATAAGACAATCTAAAAGTTTGTCTGGTCCTGCTTTAAAAAGATGAAGTTCTCTGCGGGGGGCCCCCCCCCCTGACGCCTCCCAGACGGTTCCAGAGACGGGGCCATAGTGCTGGAACATGCCTCGCACGGGTTTGTGGCCTAACTTTGGGGATGGTTAGAGTCGGCTCGAGGGAGCCAGGCCGGGAAGGTTCATAGGATTATAGCAAAATCTGAAAAAAAATCAATCAATCTAAGCCTATCCAAAGTTTATTTGTAGTGCGACTTTCATACACATCGCAACACTTAGCTTCAAAAGTCCACATCACAAATCATCACATAAAACAACCCATAACCACAATGAATACTTTAAAATCAACACAATAAGGTTATCACAAATTAAATCATTAAAATCACACAAACGAAATATAACCAGTTTTAAAAACTTTCAAAATTACAACAAAAATTCAATAAATAAATAATGACAGCAGTGCATTAAAAATGATGATAAAATCCTTCAGTTGTATCACAGCAAACAGAACAGTCTTTAACCGATTTTGAACTTGACAAGTAACCCTCCTCACATTTTCTGGAGATTGGTCCAACTTAGATGCATGGATCTTAAACGCAGCCTCCCCATGTTTGGTTCTCCCGCTGCACCACAAGCCAGTCCCTGGCCCCAAGTCCGCTGGTTCAATGAGACACAACAGTCACCGAATGTATTCTGGTGCAAGGCCATGGAGAGACTTGTACACATGCAGACCGGTTAAAATACTATCTTTGAAAGCCACAAACAAGTTGAAAGACCTGAACCGACTAAATGTCTTACTTCCGGTTCCTTCGAATCGACTGCTGCTATTGTGGATGTCTGCAGCTCTTACATCTGTTTGGACAGACCGTAAGCTCATTGGGCATAGTCTAAACCTCTGAGACAAATGCATGGACCAGAATCTCCAATCTGCCCTGGACACTAAGATTTCTAACTTTGTCAATGTATGCAGATGAAAAGCTTTATGTTATTGATTATGTGGCTATTTGACATTTAGGTCTGAGTCCAGTATACCCCCCAAATTCTGACCTTGTTCCTGAAGTATAGAGAAGAGACGGGAATTGACAAATAACCCTCTCTTTTGCGGGGACCAAAGACAATGATTCGGTTTTGTCTGTTATTACTGGAGAAATTATTTTGCATCCAGTCACTGAGCGGTTGAGACAGTGAAGGGAGCAAATCCAGTGTCCCATGTCTCCTCAGTCATGAGATCACATAGATCTAGTGTCGCAGCGTATTGGGGTAGGTACCACTGTGATTTTTGTTTTTTTTGTATTGTTTCGTTTTTTTTCTTTTATTTTGCGGTTTTTTTTGTGTCTTTTTTTTTTTTTTATTATTGTTTTTTTTTTTTTTTTGTTTATTTGTTTTTATTTTTCTTTGTAGAACTGACCTAACGGCACATTAGAATTAAATAAGAGGTCCCAGGATCTGACCCCTGTGTACACCACAGCCAGCCACACATCTGAACCAGTCTCCAATCTCCACAAGTACTTCCTATCCTCCCAGGTAAACCTAAACCATCTAGGCTGTGCCAGTGACACAGCCAGTCCTCCCATCTCTCACTAAGGATCTCATGGGCGTCAGTGTCGACCGGCTCTAAATCTAACATGACCAAAACTGTACTTTACCTGCATCAGTTGAATCGAATTCGTTTGTTACCTGCACCTAAGCGTCTCATCTGTGGGGTCCTATACCAGACTGGAACATACAAAAGAATTATTCATTGGGTAAAAAATTCTGTTAGTTGTTGATGGCCACTTTTCAAAATTTTTCCAATAAACGGCAGATTCGATATGGCGATAATTTGAATCCCCAGATCCAGCTGCCTTTTTTAGAATTCTTATTCGCTGTTTTTTAGGCCATAGGAAATTTCCGACACCAAGACATGTTACTATGGTGGCTGTAAGTTACAAACTCGCAGGAACGGACTTCAGAAATTTTAGCAATATATCCAGGCACAATGTAGAGCCAGACTCCTGATTATCTTTTTTACATTCAGTATCCAAGTGCAAATGAGTTAGCTCTAAAGCCGCTCTGGGCTGTTTGCATTGTTTACTGCTGAGGAGTGTTAGGGTTTTTGATTCCTTTGACTTGTATCCGAAATAACGTGCAACTACATTACACTAATTTAGAGGAAAATTCTAGGCAACTTACAGGGGTTCGTATAATCAACCAACTGTTGAAAAACATAACACTACGAAATATTGTTACGGCAACCTCCAATAAGTCAGAATAAACATTTCTCTTGTTCTACTAAACCCGTTAAAATGCACCCAACACTTCTTATAGATCTCATAACGCCCCTGGAAATTGGAACTTTCGCCACTTCCCGTTCGGACCTTCGCCCCCGCCGCATCCTGCTTTCTGTGCCCTAACCGTGTCGTGCGTTAGTCCTGGGGCCTTTTCTTTCGGGTAACTAGTTTAACCGTCACAGGAGCAATGCGTCCAGAACATCTGAACACGGTGTGACTGAGTTGTGTACAATTTCATCAACCAGTAGACATGATTTATCAAAATTTAGCATTCCATGATACAGTTACTTGTTTTGTATGTAGTGTCGTCTCGAACATTGTAAATCACTGTGGTTTGCAGTAAAACACATGTCAAAAATACACAGAACTGTTCGACAAAGCAACACAACTACATACCATTTTGATACTTAACCCCCTTTGAATTAGCATCAAGAGTAGCCCCCTCGTGGTGGGCACTCACTCTTATGAAACCAAAGTCTCAAATACAGGAAGCCACTCTTTGCATTTCTGCATCAACATTATGCAACATGTAACATTAAATCACCTAATAACTAAACGTATCATAATCGTGCACACAATGAAAGTATTCAGTAAAAATGGTCAATAAAGCTGGCACTATGACGTGCCGTACAGGACAATAAAGTTAGATAATTGCTTTGTGTCCTTTTTAAAAGATATAGACACAAAACATGAAAAAGTTCCAAGGGCTTTCTATGGAACCAAAGTGCTCTCTAAAAACTTGCAAGCTATCCTCCCCCCCTTTTGGTTTCTCCGAGTTTCGGAATTCGAAATAAAAGGGGTGGTGTTTCTCCTATTAAACTGCATGTTCCTGTATTTGTCCATGCCTTGGTTTCAAGCCATATGCGAACAAGCAAGATAATAAGAATGGTGATAAAATTTAGTAAATTAAATTGATTGTTACATAGAGATCTGACATTAAGCAGAGCAATTTAAAAAAATGAACGTCAGAGTCCGATTAAAGTGTGATGATTTCTACAAACAGAAATTATAGTGGCAGGGTTGGACCGTCGAACTCTGTACTTTTTATTTCGTTTTTGAGAAATTTAAAAACATTTGGAGCGGGTGGCGAGGGAACACACAAACAGTCCAATGCCGAAAAATGTGATAACCCTTGGTGTGCCTTTTGACTCCCATTTCTAGAAGGAGTCAGCACAGTTCATGTTTGACTGGGAATCACCTGCCAACGGACAGGACAGTGTTGGCTCCGTTTACTCAACCGGTGCTGGTTGAACAGGAGGCGGGAGTCGTGGGGTCCGAGGGCTCAGATGTAAACAGTCTCACCGCCCCCCTCGAGCCTGAACAACCATAACTATTAATCCATCAACAGCTGCTACCGTAGCTTCTTTGTGTAATCCCGTCGGGACATAAGGCCTGTCGTTACGGTTCCAGAAAAGGGCAAAGTGATTCACAAAGACAAATTAATAGAGCTGCATAGCCGAAGCCACATTGCAGCGGCCACAACACACGTATGCATCCCCTCTGTAACAGTCTGATTGGACCAAAAAAAAACAATAGGTTCCCAGAGAAAGGAGTGAACAATCCATAATAGTTTCTTATGACTTCTACTCTGAAGTTTCAGGTCTTAATGTCCCACTTGCACACTACCTTTGTAACGTATCAGGCAGGACTGAAGCAGAGGAGGGAACGTATGAGCAGCTGTACAGTACCCGGAATACACGAGTGACCAGCGTTTGATAAGCGAACGTTCCTCAATCACGATGAATCTCCAATAATCAATTCTGCAAGATGCCTCGAGATGGTGCTCGGGACAACCAGCGTCACCCGACACCGGACCCAGCCGACGCCGAGGAACACAATGGATAGGAGGACGGTGCTGACTCTCACTACTGCACCCACCGTTCTCGGAATACGCTGGAGCGTTGAAGGCTGCTCTGGACGCTGCTGATGTCCCGGAGGGAGCTGAGATTGGATGGCTACTACCCCATCGAGCTGCTCACTGGGTCAACATGCTGGGACCGCTCTTTCCGCCAGACTTGCTTCCTTAAGGAGCTTTTCCTCGTAGTGGACTTGGAATCCTCGACAGTCGAGTTTGCTGCAGTGTCCATAGTGTCGGCTAGGGGCCGATGGCGTGGAAGGGCTGCATAGACGGTTGCCAGACTCAGACTTGGCCACCGGCCAGGATGGCTCCTTCGAATCCGCGGAGCTCGTTATTCGTAACGGCCTTTGGTGTAGAACTGGTGGGGCCGAGCTGAACGATCCTCTCCCACCACAAAGTGTCACAATATCAGCGCTCAGTGACATCAGCCTGAATGCTGCCCTACCCAGCGACTTCAAAAAGTTTGGATACTAAATTGTTTCTTCATTCAACTCTGGCGGAGAGGGCAAGGACTCGTTCGAAAGATCTGCTATGGTGGCAAAATCGCATCTCAACAGGAGCTCCAATTGAGCGACTAATATTGTGCATGTTGAGCCTATGTTCATTGTCACTTCAATTCCTCGTTAGCTTGTGTAGCCTCTGTGCTACTATGGGTTTCATCCGGACTCAATCTATTTGCTGAAACCACTGATATTAAAAATAAAACACTCAGATATATTAAAAAAATACTAACAATATAAACGCGCTAAAAAGTTGTTTAAAAGTAGACTATAAAAGGTCCCAGAGCACCCTGCAAGACTGCACTTCTTGTTGACACAACAACAAGCACTACCCCGCTTGGAGTCCGCCCAAAAGGGCCCAAGACCATTATACATTTAAAAATCATTAAATATAACCTTAAAATTATCCGGAAACACACGGAGCCATACAGAGCACGAGTTTAAAACCTGAATGGTCCCGCCCCCTGTCTTATCAAGGACTCTCGCTCCCAAGTTTGTGAAGTAAATGTAAACCTGAAATATTCTTTTTGGAAACCAGAGTCAGCAGTACAGTATACAATGCAACGGTATAAAAGCATCAGCGTCCGCTGGTTGCCCCAGAAGATGGGCGGACTCGCATGTACTTAGATATAAAAAGCTATTTTTGTGAGGTTCCTGATTGAGAAAAAAAGGTCCTCAGAGACAAAGATTATACGCCCAGGTTTGGCACTGTATAGCATGAAAAGAGTTATTGGATTTTGGTAAGGTAACACAATGTAAGGTATTGATGTTTATATTTAATACTAGCGCTAGTTTAAACAACCAAGTCCAACAAAGCACGTCATCAATGTGCAGAGTTCAGATATATAAAGCGTTTTTTTGTAAAAGTTTCTGTCTCTCGGCCGCAGGGCGATGAAAACTCATTTTGTCCTTGACTAAGAAAGTTTTCTGCCATCCAGGATTTCATCTAAAATGCAGGTCAAAAGACTTCCATTGCCCTGTTCATCAAACAGAGTACCTGAGTATCATCTGCATAACTGTGGAAGTAATTCCATGTCTCCTGATGACAACTACGCCAAAGACAATGTCCAGGTTAAAAAGGACTGGACTAAATGGAACGCTGGGGCACACACATAATTTCACATGTCCTGAAAGGAGAAGACCAAACTACCATGAAGGACAAGTCGCTAAATAAAAGTAATGAATTATCTTATTTATATTCCCCCTTCAACAACCAAGTCCACAAAGAGGTGTACCAGTTCTTTTTATTTTTGGCACCCAAAAATAGTCCTCTCACTCCACAGAGAGAGGAGCGGGCACATTACCCTATTACAATTTTATGGTCAAACTGGATACCCTGACTCTCAGCCAAACCCATTATTCCATGCACTTCAAACCTTTCAAACCACATTTTGTGTTTCTGTACTGACCCAGAGGGGTTGGATTGCAAAGGCAGGGGCTTGGAAAAAAAAAAGCCTATATGTATTGGAGACACCACTGGTCCTATCTTGTATAATTCTCTGCTTTCCTACCACTCTCATAGAAGCACAACGCTCCCATAGTTGCCAAATCCCACATTATTTCTCCTCAAGGATTTTTTTGCTAAAAACGGACTACTAATCAACGTTGGATACCATATTGGTTTATTGCCTTTCTGTTATTAATAACTATACAAGTCTTGGAAAAATTTATGCGGGAAACCAACCAAACCTGGCAACCCTCGCGCTATATGTGTAAACAGACACGAACCAGGCTTCTCCCTATACTTACAGAACTGTGACTCTAATACACACATATATAACATAGAACCATCTACATCTCGCTCAAATGGCAGTAAACATGGACCTCCGTGCTATATTCATCGGATTTACTCTATAAAAAGATTCCACTGTACGTCCCACCATCTTGGATTCCTACTCGCTGCTGCTCTAAGAACCTTGAAAGGCAGTGCAGAAACCCCGCAAGCCTATGGGCGATTAAAAAATAATCTGGGAACTCGGCTTATCTCGATACCAACCCATGTTGCACCAAACGCCGCTTGGAGGCATGCGGAACTACAATCCTGCAGACCAGCTAGAAACTGTACCCAGAGGAAACCTACGCAACACGGGAGAACATGCATAACCCACCGCGAGAATGGCCCTGGTCCTCGTTGCTGAAGGAGAGAGTGCTATCACCACCACCTGCAGCCCAGTTAGTAATCAATTATTTTGAGAGGAAATTATATTCTAGATAATGACCGTGTTATTTGACAAGGTTCCACAGCACGTGGGCTGATGGAGAGCACTCGCGCCTCTCCAAAAAGACAAGCCTTTACTGTGTGCGGTTGCTGTTCTCCCCGTGTCTGCTAGTTTTCTCTGGGTACAGTTTTCTACCGGCTCTGGCCAGACCTTGTATTCCGCCATGCTCCACAAGCTTTGGCAAACCACAGGGCTGGATCGTGCCCATACAACGCCTTCCCCAGATTTAATGTTTTAATCGGCCCAATCTGATGCCGTTTCTGCACTGCCTTCCAAGTTTCTCTCAAGCAGCACGAAGGAATCCAAATGTGGGACGCAAATCCCCGAATCGTTTTAAATAGTAATACAACGAATAAGACACGAGTCACTTGTAATGCAATTTGAGCGAGATGTAGAGCTTCTATGTGAGATATGTTGATTCATGCAAAGTTCCTGTTAATTTGGTAAGCACGTTTTCAGTTTTCTTTTGACACACTAGCACAGGTTGCCAGTGTGTGGTTCCCAGCAATATGTTTCCTAAAACTTGTAGATTAAAATAAACTGAAAGACAATCAACACAATCATGAATCCCAATTGAGTATTTGACGTTTTTTAGCCTATAAAAATCAGGAGGTGGAAATTATGCGGATTTGCAACCGATAGCCGTGGGCGCGATGTAGGGGATTGAAAGTAAGACGTCAGTCAAATAATCGGACATGTGGTCGTAATCCATCTCATATAAGGATTTTTTGTTTACAAGCCCTCCTTCTGAAAAACCAACGCCAAAGATGCGCAGTACCAAATCATTGTGCAGTCAAACGAACTACAGGGCGGGGCGAGAGTCCAGCTATCCAGTTGCCCCCACCACTATAAATATGTACATTTGGTACTGGCGACCCGCTCCCATACTCTCTGGAGTGAGGAGACAAAGGCCCCAAAAATAGAACTGTAAACCCTCTTTGTGACTCGGGTCTGGGTACGGTAGTGAAATAAGATAAATTACGTACTTCTATTTAACAGACAGATCCTTCTGGTAAGTTGGATACCTGCTCCTCTCTAAGGCCATGAAATCACATTTGTGCCCCAGGTCCATGTCGTCCATCCTGTGAACCCATTCATCCCTCTTGCGTGTCATCTAACATGGGGAATTAACTTCCACATTATGCAATGATACTCACTGTACTTCTCCAGTCGCCTGATGACACCAGGCCCAATGATGCTCTTTTTGAACGGCATTTAACCGGAAATCCTATGCAGAAAACGTTCTCCAGCTCACCAGGACAAAACTGAGGTTTTCCAACCCCTAGCCAGAGAAGAAACTTTTACCAAAACTCGCCTTAGATATCTAACTCTGATCAATGTAAGTGCTTTGTGACCTTGGTCTTTAAAATGCCTATAAATAAACAATCACATTAACTTTACATTGTTTAAACAGTACATTACTCCATCTCCAACTCTTTTATCGTCATCACAATGAAAAAACCTGCGTAATCTTTGGACGCTGAGCTGACTTTTGTCTCACATCAAAACAGCCTCAAAAATAATTTTTATCAGCTAAAAAAATCCCAATCCCCCCCATTCTCTCTCGGCAACCCAGAGACCTGAGCTCTTTATCACCAGTCATTGACTACTGTAATGCCCTGCTCTCGTCTTCCCAAATAAGATTAGTTCAGGTTGACCAATACTTCAAAACTGCCGGCACGTGTCCACCTAAACCAGGGGCGTCCACATGACACCGTTTAAAATCGCTCATGGCTCCCCGTGTTTCAGATCATTTATTAAGTGTTTTAATGATTTTTATAAATGTCTTAATGTCGTTGGCCAGTCATATGAATCAACGCAGGTGTCTATAAGCAGTACTGCTGCTGCTCTGTGAACCTTTTTAGTAAACTTTAACTCTTTTTGCACGTTTTTTAGTGTTCTATTTTTTAATATATCTGAGTTTTATCGTTTTAATTCAGGTTCACAAATACACGTAGGGCCCGACAAACCACTAGTACACAGAGCTAACACAAACAAAAAGGACATGAAATGACACTGAAATTGCGTCAAACATCACATTATTATCCCTCACCTGAGCTCCGTGAAGCGACCGTGGCCACCATTCAAATCTACGAAAAGAAGTCCGTCGTCTCACCGCAGCGTTGGATGAGAAACAATCTCTATATCCAAACTTTTTTGAATCGCTGTGGGCACATTCCGCGATTCACGGACCTGCATATTGGACACTGTCCCGTGTGAGAGAATCACCACTCCACCCGCCTTGTCTACACCTAACGCCCCCTTTCGATAACACCCCGATTCCCGAGGAGCCATCCTGCCCGTGGCCCATGTCCTGATCGGGCAATCCCAAATACACTCTCCACCACTTCCCTGCCCCCCTCAGCAAAACCTCTGGACACTGCAGCAAACTCTACGGCTCAGATCCAAGTCCAGTATGAAAAATGTAAATTCTACGAGGAAAACGCTCCAAAAGAAGCTGTCCTCAGGCGTAAGAGGCGGTCAACCAGCCAGGTTGACCCCAGTGCAGCTCCTCAGACAGGTATGCTATCCTTCATCACCACCGCTCACTCTCCACCGGTCAGCACAGCGTCCAGCATCCAGTACCCTCTCCCCGCTCCAGCGTCCCCGTCACACAGCGTGGTCGTCCTGTACTGAAGTCACACCCCCCGCCGCCCTCCATGTTTCAGCGGCGCTCAGGCCGGTCCTGCATCGTGAACCCGCGGG